GGAGGAGGATGAGGAAGAGGCCGATGAAGAGGAGAACGCAGACGACGAGCCTCCTTCTTCTCCAGCGAGGTCGTTCAAAGACGACTTTGCTTTCCCTGGTGCTAAGGACCGCTACAATGACCACAATGATGACAATGAAGACGACGACAACGATGAAGCATACACGTCACCCAAACAAAAAGCCGTGTAAGGTTTAGGAATAGCTCACTACGTTCAACGATACTTTCAGCACCTGGATTTCCACCATTTGTGTTCTTGCACCCACCACACACGTCTGCGACTCTCCCTTCTGACTTGGGCAGTTTTTTACTTTTGAATATGTTTCTTCTCCCTCTCTGCAGTTCAGCGACTGCAGCTAAAAAGAAAGACACAGCCAGCATCTTCTCATCCAAGCTAGCTGCGTCTGAAAAGAGCAATGAAAGCGGTGAGTATCACTTGTCTGTGTCTTTGAGAACACTTCAGACTGAAACAGATGGGGGGCTACAGCTTCAGATGATCACGCCTGCTGTCGGTGAAGAACAGGAAACAGGCTTCAGTTAACACAAGCTCACCGTAATCGGACAATAGAAGCTTGTAGGGGGGAACGACACATTGCCGGGTCTGACGAGCCTCGATTTCTTCGACACAATTTGAACTGCAGGGTCAGAATTTGATGTAAACAACACAAACATCCTGCTAGCATCAGCGGTTCAGGGTGTTGGTGTTACGGTGTCACAATAAGGATCAACACAGGCCAACTGAGCATGTTTCTGACCAGTTTATCCCATTATCTTCTGGTGGATGCTTTCAGCAGGACAGCATGCTGTTACAAAGCTGCAGTCATTTCAGGACGACAAGTTCACTGCACTCAAATGTCCTCTATAGTCCCCCGATCTCTGTCTAGTAGAGCTCCTGAGGTTTGATTAAAAGAAGTCTGGAGCAGATGATATACAAACGGCCTGATCTATCAGTGACCTACAGACACAACAGCAGCTGAATACTCATGTTTTTGTTGTAGACGAAGCAAAGTCTGACAGCGACAACGACAGCAGCCCAGTGTTCACTTACTCCAGCAGCTCTGCGTTTGACAAAGCGTCTCCAGCAAAGAAAGGTCAGTATGTCCAGGAGAGAGCGGTGCACTCCTTACCACACAGCGACAGTCTGTTATGTTGCGTCAAGATGCTGCTGGTGCGTCAAAGCAAAGGCTCAAATGTGCCACAGTTATTGCTGATGCTTTAAGTGACTTGTGCACGTGCAGCATTTGAAGACCAGCTGTTTGTTTTCTGTAGCAGCTAAGAAGCCGTCGGATGCAGTTCCTAAACCTAAGAAACCACCAGCACCAAAAGCAAAAAAACCTGATAAATCCATTTGGGACTCTGACTCTGATACTGGCTCTAAGAAACCAGCACCAGCTCTTAAAGGTAAGGCACAAAGAGAAGAAGAAGAGATGTAAACAAGTCACAGTGCAGGTTGTGAGCTTGTGTTACCTTGTTGCAGGTAAAGGCCGGGGGAGGAAGAGGAAGGGCTCTGGCTCTGAGGACGAGTACAGCCCCATGAAGAAGATGTCAAAGCCTCCGGGGAGAGTAAGTGCATAGAGACGACATTTTACTGTGTGATTCTGGCAGGCGGGGCCACGCTGAACTGGTGACCTGTCCAGGTGAAAGTCAACCTTGACCTGGACAGGTCACCCCACATCAGCCAACATGGACTACCAAGTTTGTGACTGTAGCAGTTCAGATTGATACCCTAAAATCTCAGGCGAGTGTGAATCTGGGTGATCTCAACCTCAAGGTCAGAGGTCGTGTTTGCTGATAACTTGAAGAAGAGGTAGCATAGGAATTTCAGGCTACGTCCACACGTA